AATTCACTTAATTTCCACGGTCACGCTATAGCTTAAACAAACGCTATAATTCACTACGAATGACTCAAGTGCTCGCTCGACTCAATTGTCAGTCTCTATCTCTGTCTGCAGTTCAATTACACCTTGTTGCCGTTACTTATTACCGGTCTTATATACAAGAATACCGCATATCTAGTAAACACTCGAGGCTTCAGGAAGGGACATGGACGTTCTACAAGTGCATGACGTGTTACTAGGATCACGTGACCTCCGCTGTCGTAACAATATTTACTTGTTTGTTCACAGATATAAAATTACTATTTAATTTCACAAGTTCTTCATACATAGTATTTGACATCTATTTTTGGTCGTTCACTTGAAAGGAAAATGAAGTAATGTGGGTGTATTGAATACAAAGACAATTTAAACCATTTCGATTAAACAACTATAGAATATTGCTTCCAATTGCTTTATAATATAGATGTAGTCCTATGTAATTATTTTTCAGTAATAAGACACATTTTCTCAAAGATCTTACAAAAAGTAATAAGAACGGTTGCTCTGTTCTTGTATAGCATTCTAGAAACAGGACTAAAATAAAAGTGTTGAAACACTTTTACTACGACTCAGTGCGATTTATTCACAAATTTCAATATTTATTATTAATTCTTATTCATACATATTGATAGATATAGTTTGTACGGTGGAAGGAGAGATTAGAGAGAACTCTGTAATTTCATTTAAAGAACTGAAATATATATTAAAAGTAACGAATTTTGCCTCTGCTTATGGGTGTATATTACTTTCTTTGTTTGTCATTTGACAATAACTCAATTGGATTATGCCTTGCAATTTTACTTAAAAATCGAGATTTTATTGACGATTTTTTCGTTCGTAGTATTATTTAAAACTTTAACACTAGAGGATACTATTTTCCGGAAGTACTGAGTATATCCCGAATATGGCAGAACAGATTACGTTCGGAGTTGACAAGTGCTGTCCGAATTAATATAGCAGGATATATACAGAGATTATGTTTAAATTGGTTGTAGCTTAATCATTCATAAGTTTGAAAGGTTGTGACACATTTTTACAATTTGAGCGTCATTTTTTTTCTCCCTGAAGAGTTGAAAATTGTAGAGTATAAGTTGATAAACTTATAAAATCCGAGTGTCGGTCTATACTATAGTTAGGCCTAATACTAATAATAAAACGTTGTATTAACAGTGAACCCTACATTGTATATACTGCATAAACACTCGTGTGAAGTTTGAGTCATTAGGCTTAAAGTTCCAACCTGTAATACAGTCTACAGGCAGTAGTTCTACATGCGTAAGTATTTATTTTTACATTTATTGTGTGGTTAGTCTTGTTGACTGTAATTGAATGTAAAACTGCACAATGCCAATGCACTTATACGTAATGCAGAGTAAATGGTAAGTAACTTATACTAAGTCATAGTCATAAATAGTAGTAATAACTAAGGTTAAGGTGTTTTGGCTTTAACGTTTAATGGATTGCTCCTGCCTGTTTCTAGAAACCCATTAAAATTAAGACCAAAACTCTTAGTTCTGTGTTTATACTGCCTTAAAAGTAAAACATCAGTTGAAACAAGTTACTGAAAATATGTAAAAAAACAGTCTTAAGGCTCAAAAATGTTTAACTTAAAAGTTCCAAGTTCTTTACTTGAACTTGGTCGAATAGTTCAAATTGGACTAGATTTAGGAAAATTCCCATAAATGAATGGCAGTAGCATAAATCACATTTACATTCAGGATATTAAATATATATAGGGTTCTAGTGTAACTACTACTGTTATGAAGCTAACTACTAAAAATGCACATGATAATAGTATTACTTTTTTACTGTGCAACTATCTGGGTTGCTCTAAAGTAAACATGTTCAGAGCATATAAGGAGGGAGTCTCAGAGAATTATAGTTCCCAGTATGTGAATGTGAAATCACAGTTGCAAATTTATAAATCTCCTATAAAGAAAATACTAATTATTGTACAGTGTACACCAAACAACAGATGAAAAATGTTACTGTATCAATACATGATCAGTTTGCATGATTCATTTCATAGCAACCATAATCCCATTAGTTGTAAATTGGCTTTAAAAAAATTGTGATTGCCAAACCTTCCCTCAACCATTTGGCAGTGTCTAGCAAGCAAATGTTAAAACCCAAAACAGATTGTCAGTTTAAATTAGCTGGGCCAGTAAGAATCAGTGATACATCAAACGATAGCTCTCTTCATGCTCTACTTTAGGTTTGGTAGTTTCATTGGCAATAAAAGCATTTACTATTTGAAAATTCACATACAAGACTTTAAAACCACTTATAATTCTTTTTATCCATTGAATTTGTAGAAACAACACCATGCAATAAACTTTGTGGTGCATATTACGTAATGCACAAACCAATACATAGATATGTCTGCCCAAAGCAAACTGACAGCATGTTAAGAAATAATGAATGGGGACTGTAAACAGACTGAATGTTGGCATGGTAACAACTTGTTTACATCATATCATGGGGTGTAAACAGCAGTTTGCTATATGTCATATTTTTGGGTGTGGCTAGAGTGCAGGAATGTGTGCTACAATAGTCCATGATTAAAATGGTATGAACGATGTATCAATTACATCATGACATGATGTAGGATGGGTAGAGTGTACTACTGGTTTGTATCTGTCAAACACTATTTTAAGTTTACAACCAGTGTGATTATAAAATCTCTCCTGTCTTTAATAGGTACATAGGTAAGCTCATACGTCATTTTTAATATTTGGTTTTTCACAATTTTAATTTCATATATATATATATATATAATATGAATCCACGTATGTCAGTTTGAAATTGATGGATTTTATTGGGACTACATTTTATCTTCCCTTGACACGGGTTTTGCGGTTTCAGGTTACCGGGTAAAGCGAAAATTTGATATCAGTCACTGA